AGGAATGCTGAAGGATCCTGGGGGATCCTGGGGGATCTTGAAGGATCCTGGGGGGTCGAGAGGAATCATCGGGGATCCCAGGGGGCCTGAAAGGATCATGAGGACTCCTGAGGACTCAAAAAATATCAAGGGGCATCCTGAGGCATCGGGGTGAATCCTGAATCCTGGGGCATCTTGGGAAATCCTGGGGGGCCCTCAGGAGTCTTAAGGGTCCTGAAGAACCCATGTAAGTCCTACAGAATTCGGAAAGATTTCACATAACCCCCAGGGATCAGAATTCCATACGATTCTTCAGGAATTCCATCGGATGCGTAAGGGATTCATGTAATTCCTGAGGACCCCCATGACATGCCCAGGGAATTCAATCAGATTCTCAAGGAATGGTCGAGCATTCCGGATGACTTCCACAAGCTTCCTGTGGAATCCCATGGGAGTCCGAAGGGATTCCAAAAGATTCGAAAGGGACTCCATAGGAGTCCCCTGAGGAATTCCATCGGATTTCTTGGGCAGTCCATGGGATTCCTAGGTAATTGCGTGGGATCCCCAAGGAATTCCATTGGATCCCTCAGGAACTTCATCGGCTCCCTCCTGAGGGATCCCCCAGGATTCCCAAGGCATTCTGGAGGATTCCCACTACGGAATCCTATCGCATTGCTAAAGAGCTCCAAAAGACTTGGAGTCCCGAAACGGTGCGGTGACAGACCGTGCGGTGACCTCGAAACCCCCCAAGACCTCACCGCACGATCCGTCACCGCACGGTCTTGGGACCTCGGAGGCCCCAGTCGCCCGAGACGTCCTCGGAGAACGACCCGAGTCCCAAAACCGTTCGGCGACCCCGAATCCCCACCGACTCACCGCACGGCGCGGTCACCACCCCGTCTGGGGGCCCCCGAAAAAATCCCCGAGAACCCTGGGGAGGCAAGCCCAGAGTGCCCACACCTTCTCCGGCCCCGTGGGAGGCCGCCGCCGCACCAGCGCCAACACTGTCTCCACCCGCGTGGGGGAAGCCCGCAGTTGCTGGCACTCTGCTTACCCTGAAGGGTAACAGTTGGGTCTCTGATAGAGAGGTAATCATTTCGGGGCAGTGTCAACGCTGTTCCAAAAAGCAGCAACCACAACGAGCACAACATCACCATCAGCATCAACCAGAGCAACAGCAACCACGATAACAACAACAACAGCGACATCAGCAACAACAACAGCAGCATCAACAGCAACAACAGCAACACCAACACCACCATCCACAACAACATCATCAACAACAATCACGACAATAACACCACCACCACCAACACCACCACCACCAACAACAACAACAACACTAACACCACCACCAACAACACCATCACCACTTTGTAACAACAGCAACACCAACAACAGCATATCACAGTATGTAACAACATCAACACCAACGACAACAACAATCACGACAACAACCACAAGATCAACAATCCGCACCGCGGAAACCCACTTCAGCCACGCACCCAGGGACACTGAATGTCTGTTCGGCCCCCTCGCGCTGCTAACTCCTGCCGCCCTCCGCCGAGCTTCCGCCGAGCTTTTCTGCCTGCTTCCCCTGGCGGATCCGCTGGCGAGACCCTTGCTGCATCGCGCCGCGCGCCCAGCGAAGCGGGGCCCGCGGAGGAATGGGGACACTCGACTGGGCGCAAGAGCGACCCCGGGCAAGGGTGACATAAAGTGCGCGGACGCAGGGGGCGCAAGGTGGCCAGATCCAAGCGCGCAATCAGCTACTGTCGCATCGCGCTCCACGAGCGGAAGGGCCCCGATGAGCCCGCACCGATGGTCACTTCTGGCGAAGGGTCACTCCCAGGAGGGGAAGAAACACACAGGCACAATCCATCGCCGATTCCCAGGAAGGTGAGTGAAACTATGGGAAGTGGGGGGGAGACAAACACCCAGAGAGTATGGGGAACTATGGGGGATCCTTGCATTTGTGTCTATCTACTTGTGTTGCCCAGGGCCACCTGCCATCGCTCGGACGTCTATTCCCTGGAACCTTGTCAACCTCTGCGCCAGGGGGCAGGCCCCGCCGGCCGTGTCCGAGTACTTCGCGGGGACTCTCTCGTGGCCCTGCCGAAGAAGGACGGAGGCCTGCGCCCTGTTGCCGTCGGGGATGTGCTCCGGCGCCTCGTCGGCAAGTGCCTCTGCCACGAGGTTGCCGACGCCGCGCGCGACCGACTGGCTCCCCTCCAGATCGGCGTCGCGGTCCCTGGCGGCACCGAGGCGGCGGTGCACGTCGCGCGCCAGTGGTGGACCCGCCACCTCGGGGACTGGGGAAAGGTGTTTGTGAAGCTGGACTTGTCTAGCGCCTTCAACACCCTGGACAGGCAGGCTCTGCTCCGCGCGGTCCACGAAGAGTTTCCCGGGCTGGCACCCTGGGCCGACTGGTGCTACTCCCGCCCGTCAACGCTCTTCCTGGGCAAACAGACAGTCCGCTCCGAGTGCGGGGTGCAGCAGGGCGACCCCCTGGGTTCCCTACTGTTCTCCCTAGCGCTACAGCGCGCCGCCGAGGCCGCCCTTCGAGCGCCGCGCCACGGCGCCGACGGCGCCGTCGACCTGACTTTCTTCTACTTGAACGACGGCTGCCTCGCGGGCGACGCGTCGGCCGTCGCGCGCCTCCTCCACTTGCTCGTGGCCAGCCTTGCCGCGGTGGGCCTCCAGCTGAGCACCGGCCCGGGCAAGTGCGAGGTGGTCCCCACTGGCGGAGACGCCTCCGGCGTGTCTCTGGACGGCTTCCCGCCGGGCTTCCGCCTCCGCACCGATCGCAGCTTCGAGCTGCTCGGCGCGCCAGTGGGAGACGCGGACTTCTGCGCGGAGCACACCAAGCAGCGCGTCGCGAGCGCCACCGACTTGCTGGAAGCTGGGGGAGCTCGAAAACGCGCAGGTCGCGCTGCACCTCCTGCGCCAGTGCGCCTCCTTCTGCAAGCTGGGCTACTCCGCGCGCGTGGTGCCGCCCACCGCGCACGCCGCCTCCCTGCTGGCCATGGGGCCATGGACGACGCTGTCCGGGCCTGCCTTGAGCAACTGAGCGGCTGCTCGCCCTCCGACGCTTCTTGGCAGCAGGCTCAGGTAAAGCTCAGGAAGGGAGGACTTGGCCTGCGCTCTGCCGCGAAGCACGCCGCCGCCGCCTACGTCGCTTCCAGAGCGAAGAACACCGACCTCTGTCGGCAGCTCTACCCTGGCTACTCCAACAACCCCGACCGCGACGGAGGTAGCCTGGCGGCTGCGGTGCAGGCCCACGACGCAGTCGTGCGGGACGCCGACCGGGTGGTGTTCGACCACGCGCAGCACGGCAACCAGAAGGCCCTCTCCGACGCGGTGGACAGCGCCTCGCTCGACGGACTTCTGGCGGGCTCCACCCTGGCCGGCAAGGCGCACCTCTCTCTGGTGCGAGCCCCATGCAGGCGCGGCCGCGTGGCTCCAGGCGCCGCCCTGCGAGGCCACCGGCACCGCCTTCCCGCACGGCCTCATGCAGGTCGGCCTGCAGAGGCGGCTGCGAGTCCAGCTCCTGCAGGAGGAGTGCTTCTGCCCAGCCTGTGGCGAGGTGATGGGCGTTTTCTGCGACCACGCCCTGGTCTGCGCCTGCCGCGGCGACCGGACCAAACACCACAACGCCCTGCGCAACCAGGCCTTCTTGGACGCCCTGGCCGCCGGCCACGCCGGGGCGGAGTTGGAGCGCCCGGGGCTGCTACCCGCGCGCCCCGCCGGGGAGGCCACCCCCGGGGGCGAGCAGGGCGGGTCCCAGGTGGACGACAACGGCCGCCGCCCTGCCGACGTCTACCTGCCGCGGTGGCGCAACGGCACGGCGGCCGCCTGGGACTTTGCCGCCACATCAGGGTTGCGCGCCGATCTCCTCGCCGCGTCGGCCGCTTCGTCAAGCGCAGCGACGGAGCGGTACGAGGAGTTCAAAAGGCAGCACCAGGACACCGCGCGGCTCTGCGCGGCACAGGGCTTCACTTTCCCCCCCATGGTGGTGGAAGCCCACGGCGGCGGGTGGGGCCGCGAAGCACGCAGGGCCTTCGGGGTCCTGGCCAAGCGGGTGGCTGACGCCACGGGGGAAGACGCCGCACTGGTTGCGGACCAACATGCCCAGCGACTTTCCGTCTCCCTGCACAGGGAGAACGCGCGGGCGGTGTTGCGGCGCCTTCAGACCCTGTCTGGAGGGGCGGGGGTGGCAGCGGCCCGCCTGGCCGCGGCCACGGCGGCCTCCACGGCAGACGCCGTGTGAGGTGCCCCCTGCGCTGCCTAGCGCCTCCCGCCCCCCCCCCCCGCCCTTGCTGGGCAGCGCGGGCGCCCCCCGCGCCCTTTCGCCAACGTCGCGCCGGCGATCCCTCCCACGCGCCGCCCGGCCTTTCCCCGGCGGGGCGGTGGATGGATCCCGCAGAGGGCAATCCCCACCAAGCCGCATCGCGCTGGGTTCGGGCGGCCACCCCGCCCAGGTCGCCGCCGTAGGGTCCGCAGCCTCGTCGCGGGCGGCTCTTCTCTCCCGGCCCCTGGCCCGGCCTGTCTGCTTGCGGCCGCTGCTTTTTCTCCTCCTTGTCCTCCTCCCCCTCCTCCCCCTCCCTTCGCTTCTGTTCGTTGCTTCCCTCCCTTTCCTTTCCTCCTGCTCCCTGCCTGCTGTCTCCGCCTGGCCCGTCTTCTGCCTGCCCGCCCGCCCCGCCGGCCCTGGCCTCCCGCCTGGGCGTTCGTCGTCGTCTGCCTGCTTCTCCCCTCCTCGTCCCCTTCCGCCGGACAGCACAGCCTGCCCGGAACCAGCGTGGCGGCATATAGGGGCCTGACAAGTTGTGTCGACACGCTCGGATTCCCTGTGTTTTGTGTTGGTTTCGTGCGTGGTTTTCTCGCCAAATGATCCAGGATGCTCCTCGATGGTCCTCGCCGAAGGAAAAAAACACACGTCCGAGCGATGCCAAGGCCACTTCGCACTCCGACGCGTAGCCGACGTACTCCTCAGGAGCGCGTGGCCCGGCACGGGCGCTCTCCTCCGCGCCGAGGCCGTCGCTGTCCACGTAGACGAAGAAGTCCACAATCTTGCCCTCCTTGGCCTCGCCGCGGCGCGGGGCAGCGGGCGCGCGGCGCGCACCACGCCGCGGCCCGCGGGAGGGCCGACCGGGCGCCTTCCTGTGCGCCGGCACCGATCTGACCCTGGCGCATCCTGGGGAAAGGGGAGGAGGAGGAGGAGGAGGAGGAGGAGGAGGAGGAGGAGGAGGAGGAGGAGGAGGAGGAGGAGGAGGAGCAGGAGCAGGAGGAGGTGCGAACTGCCCCCCGAGCTGAGGGAGGCACCCAAGGACGCCCCGGGGGCCGCAGGTGAGAAGGGGGGAAGCGCCGGACCCTCACGGGGCGGTGACAGAGGGCAGCGGGGCAGTGGCGGGGAGGAGCGGGCAGCGGCGCCAAGCGGGCGCCGGCGGAGAGGGCCCCGAGATGGCGGCGGGTGGCGGACGGCAGGCGGCGGCGGGGCAGCGAGGGGGCGATGCCACGCGGGCGTGGCCATCCGGCGTGCAGCGAACGGCGGGCAGCCGCGCTCCGAAAACGAAGGGTGCTGGGAGGGGTGCCTGCGCGCGGTCCCACTCGTGCGGAGCACGGGCCCTTGGCTCCGCAGCGGGGCGATGCGATGCGATGCGACGGCCCTTGGAGGCAGGAGGGGAGGTCCGCCTGCTCCGGCAGTGCGCCGGGCCGCAACAATAATGAACATCATACGATTACAGAAGGCAATGAAGGACAGTGCAAGATGGGAAGATGGGTGAGACACCAGTGAAAAGACAAGAGCACGTGTGGCTATCCCAGCGAGGGTGGGCGCGAGGAGAGAGGCAGAGAGCGGCAGGGTGCTGGCCTGGGGCAGGTTGCCGCGCGGCACGGGGGGGCGGGGCGAGCGGGCGGCGGCCCCGCAGTGGGTCCGCCAGCGTGGCTCCCCCGGGGCGGTGGGGCCTCCAGGAGCTGGCGAGAGCTCGCCATCGCTCGGACGTCCATTCCCTGTGTTTTTGGTTGGTTTCGTGCGTGGTTTTTTTGCCAAATGATCAAGGATGCTCCTCGATGGTCCTCGCCGAGGAAAAAACGCACACGTCCGAGCGATGCCAGGAGAGGGGCGCCAGGGCGGCCGCGGATGGGGTCAGGCGCGCGGCGGGGGGGGGCCTGGCGCCACGAGCCCGGCCCTTGGAGGGCCACTTCGGGGAGGGCAGGGCTGTGAGGGCCACGGACCGCCATCCGAGCGACGAGCAGGTGATCCGCCCCGTCTGGTGGGCGACTCAGGGCGGCAAGGGCCCCTTTGGGGGGCACTGCCACCCCGGGGCGGGCGGAGCCGTGATGGAACGACTCGGGCCCGAAACGCGACGGCGCGCTCCCTCCTCAGCGAGTGCGACGAAGATGTCACCGCAGGTCTGGAGCTGCAGTGGGCCTGGCGTGCTGTCCTCGGTTCCCCGAGGGGCCACTTCGGGGAGGCTCGAGTCCGAGGGGGGCACGGGCTGTGCTGCGAGCGACCAGCAGGCGAGCCGCCCCGTCCGCGGGTGCCTCACAGGGGGCGAGGGGCCCCCCAGGGCGCTGCCTGGGGGAGAAAATGTTGAACCAGACCAAACGGACTCTCCGCGCGTGCTTAGATGTCAGTGGGAATGCGCAGGGTGTTCTGTCTGCAGTGGGAACGTTATGTTCAAATTTCCAGCGCTTTCCAACTCCAAATCTCCAACTACTTACCCACCCTGTCCCCCCGAACCCATCTGGAACCCAACTGTTGTCACCCGGTGTGTCCAGCTGCTTCCGGCTGTAATTCTTCGTGTCGATCTCCACTCCGTGGTCGCGTCGCACTGGTCAAGTGCCGCTTGCACGCGCCTTTGCTCTGGAGCTGCCCGTATTCCAAAAACCTCAGAGGGCATGCGGGAACAACGCTCATCACGTGTCCAGAAGCACCCACAAGACCACCAGGTCTCTCCTCAAGACAACATGACTGCCGCTGCCCACTGCCCTGTGCTGGTGTCGCGGGGGGGGGCACATGGAACACACTGATAAGCCAACTGGGCGGGCGAAGGATATGCAACAAACCGACACCGCAGACTCGTCCGCGGACGGCGCCTCGCTATCCGAAGCGAACTTGCCGGGGGAGGCACCCCGACGACGGCAGGTGCGCCAGAACCGCACCGGACAAGAGCTTGCAAGGGCTCCTAAGTTCGCGCTTCGCGCTGCGCGAAGCGCGAAGCGCGAATAACTTCGCGCTCTCGCGCCGCCCCCCAAGGGGGAGAAGAGGAGGACGAGGAGGAGGAGGAGAAGGAACGAGGACCGCGAAGCGCGAAGCGCGAATAACTTCGCGCCCTCGAGGGAGCCCTTGAGCTTGACAACCTGACCGCACCAGGCATGGAACGGAACGGTCGAAGTCGAGGGCCGAGTGCTGGCCCCTTCCTTGCCCCCCCCCTCGCCACACCCGGGGGCGGCGATGGGGGGGAATAGCCAAGGGAAGAGCAGTACAGTCTGGGCGTTGACCTAAGGAACCCTAAGTAAGGGCTCCTTCTTCAGCGCCCCGACGGTACATGTATCCAGGGGCGCCGATGGTCCAAGCCGTCGGCGAGGCTCCCAGGCGAATGCGTGTAATGCCCGCCCCTGGGCAATTCGCCCCTGTGGTCGCCTCTGGCACACTGCTGCCACCCCCAGTGTGGGGCAAACAACATCGCGTTACATGCGCAGTTACTTGCGGGCATCTGGGAGCAAGCTGATAACGCCTTGGGCAGCACCAGGCCCCTCTTCTCGGCGGCGCGCCAGGGGGGGGAAGGGAAAAAAGGGGCAGGCCTTCTCGGAAGGCTCGGAAGCCCCCCGGCCCGCTGAGAAGTGTTCTAATCCTCCCCCGAAGACGCAGGGAACCTCTCGGAAGGCGCAGGGGCTTCCGAGAAGCCCCGCCGCCTTCTGAGATGGCCTCCTCCTTCTCGCTTCCCTCCCTCGCTCGCTGCCGACCCTCGCCCGCGCATCAGGAGCGAAGGAAGAATACACACGTACACGAATCCACGTCGGTTCCGAGAATGCGCGCTGCGCGAACGTTCGTGTCACGCGGCTGGCCGCGCGGACTTTTTGGGCCGTGCTCCTGAGTACGTGGTTGGGCGCGTGCGTCCCTTGTGGGCTCCCCCCTGCTCGCCGCCGACCCTCTCTGTCCGAAAGTGGTCGGCCTGCCACTGGTGAGCGTCTTCTTAATTCGGCGTTTCGACATTGTGCGAAGGGGGGGTGGGAGGGGGGGTGGGGAGGGGGGAAGTCTGGCTCCAGAAACTCTGCTCAGCGCGACTGGTTGCAACAGTGCGCCCCATGGGGAAGCCCGACCTGTTTGAAACAGGAGCCACAAACAGCCAATATCTACTCCATGGGAGGGGGTGGGGAGGGGGTGCGATGGCCCGCGCCGATCGGCAACACAATGAATACGAAATGGCGCCCTCCACTCACCGCCTGCTCCAGCGGTGCCCTCCTGCCCCCGCCTGCCTCGTCTCGCCTGCCTCGCCCTGCCAACCCTGGCCTCTCGTCTGCGCGCTCGTCTTCGCCTGCTTCCGGGGAGACGTAAGACTCGGGTTCGGGGGACTCAGGATGAGGCGGAAGGAGGAGGAGCAGGAGGAGGAGGAGGAGGAGGAGGAGGAGGAGGAGGACGGCGCTGGTTCGGAGGGGAGGCTGAGGAGGAGGAGGAGGAGGATGGATGAGGGAAGGGGAGGAGGAGGAGGAGGAGGAGGAGGAGGAGGAGGAGGAGAAGGAGGAGGAATGCGCTAGTTCGGAGGGGGAGGAGGAGGAGGAGGAGGAGGAGGAGGAGGAGGAGGAGGAAGGCGCTAGGTCGGAGGAGAAGGAGGAGGAGGAAGAGGATGGGAAGCATGATGAGGTGGGGGAATCGAAAGAGTAGAAGGGGTCGGCGCGGATAGTCGGGTTGGCCTGACAGGGACCATCATGAAAACGACGAGACCCAGTCTGAAACTGGACGCGAGCTCCCGATGCAGAAATCCGACGAAAGCAGGACAGTCAAGATCCAGGACGCGCTCGCCAAAGAGAGTCGGCTAACCCGAGTTCCCGCGTACTCGATTCTTACGTTTCCTCGATGCTTGCTTCTTGCTCCCTTCCGTCCTCTCCGTCGCCGCGCAGCACAGGCTGCCATGAACCTGCTCTGCCTCTCACGCTCTTGCCCCCCCCCACCGAGGCCTTGAGGTGGTCCGCCTCCTCGTCGTCGTCGCCTCCCCCCCGTCGTCGTCCGTCGTCGTCGTCGTCGTCGTCGTCGTCGTCGTCGTCGTCGTCGTCGTCGTCGTCGTCGTCGTCGCCCTCGTCCTCGTCGTCGTCGTCGTCGTCGTCGTCGTCGTCGCCCTCGTCCTCGTCGTCGTCCTCCCCGACCTCGTCGTCGACGTCGCCGAGGCCTTGAGGTGCTCCGCCCCCTCGATGGCCACCACGTCCTGGCGCGCGGGGGTGCGGCGCGCGGGGGGGTGCACCGCACCCGGCGCGAGAACGCGGCCCCCCCCCCCCCTCCTGGCCATCGCTCGGACGTCCATTCCCTGTGCTTTTTGTCGGTTTCGTGCGTGGCTTTCCCGCCAAATGATCAGGGATGCTCCTCGATGGTCCTCGCCGAAGGAAAACATGCAGACGTCCGAGCGATGCCAAGCCTCACCAAGAACGCGCGCGGCCAGCCTGCCCCGCCGTGCCCCGGCGGAGGGCCACGCCACGCCGCTGGCTCCTCTTCCAGGTGCTGCCAGAAGTGCCCCTGGCCCAAGGTGCCCCCAGGATTTCCAAGGAGGCCCCCCATTGACCTCCAGAGCACTCCACGCGAGGCCCAGAGGGCCCCACGGGGCTCCCAAATTGGGCGAACAGCTGGGGGCACCTTGGGCCAGGGGCACCTTCAGCAACCTCCGACACTTTACGACGAAGCCAGGAAAGGGGCATAATCGGACAGGGACAACTTCGGGCGCTGCTTACTGGGGGCGAAGAATGCGGGGGGGGGGGAGGAGAACTGTACCTTTCGTGACTCCATTGAGCCCCAAAAGGCCCATTCAGGGCCTGTAGGGCGCAACAAAACGTGCACTTTTCTCCCCCCCCCATTGGCCGCCTTCTCAGTAGGCAACGCCCGATACATCGGGTATCCCTGAGATCTGGCGGTTCTGGAGGATGTATCGCGCGCCGCGGCCCTCTCAGAGCGAGAGCGTTCCAGAACGGGCGGCGTTTGCCCTGGCAGTCGCGGAGCCCTCCCCAAGGTAGGGCCGCGCGTCGGAACAGATGGCGCGGCAACACCTGTTGGCTGGTCCTTTCTGGCCTGCTGGCCGCAGCCCCTGACCCAGACCGAGGGGGAAACGAAACTGTGACGGCCGCTCCGGGCCGACTTCGCACTGCTAGGGCTGCGGGCGCGTGCAGGGTCACGACGCAGTGCGAGCAGAAGGAGGTCCCCCAATGCCGCCCTCCGCGAGGGTGCCAAAGCTGGAGCGCCGAACTTCCGCGTGCGTCGCAGAGGGGGGGGCAGAAAAAGAAGGGTTGGCGCATCAAGGCCCGAGGCATGTGCGCCGATGACGGGGGGACCAGGGAACGCCTTCAAAGACGAGGAAGGGCCACGACATGTGGGAGATGTGACGGCCCTGGCTATGATATCATACCCCCCCTGTCCTGAACCCCCCTTCTCGGACGCCCCGAGTCTGGGACTGCCAAATGGGGTGAGAGGCAACGATAAGAGGGGATAGGCTCAGGGGGGGAAACATCGAGCTGGAACCGGCCATGCATGGCAGATAGGTGTCTGACAGTCCACCCCGCCCAGGAACCTTGGGATTCGCTTTCGGGGGCCTATCGCGGATCCATCGGCGATTTCAGCTCGATGTTCCCCCCTCTGGGCCTATCCCCCTGGAGACCACGTCGCGCACGGACGCGCGCCGCGGCGGACTGGACGCTCGCCCGCCTCGGTCCTTGCCAGCCCAGGGAGAGGACGGGCGGTGGGCTGGGGGGCGGCCCTGAGGTCCTGGCAGGAGGGCACCAGCCATGATAACATCTACGCTGATCCTGGCCAGGCCCATCCTGGGCCCAGGCTCTGCCTGGCCTGGATCGGTGTGGGCGTGTTGGCGGTGCTCCTCGACATGGCGTCGCAATTTTTTATACCGTCGGGGCGTTGACCGAAGGAACCCTAAATAAGGAACGAGGCCCCTGTTTTCCATAAGATAACTTTCGATTTCCGGTCGAGAACATCGGAAAACCTGAGGCAAGCTGTGAAACACTTAAGGAACGCGGAGCCCCTCCCCAACGAAAAGGGTTCCTTCTTCAGGGCCCCGACTGTATAGGGCGCCAGTCATGATTTGTTGTTGTCGATGCCGCGCAGTCTTCGCCACGTCGGTCTCAGAGGGGGGAGGGAGGCGAAGGGTTATGGTGTTCCCATCGTGCTGAAAGCCACATCCCAAACATGATTTCGAGCACCCAGAAAAGTATCGAAACAGTGTCTGCCCGATGCGCTAATTAGCGAAGTGTCGGACGAGTATCGCCTCCCAACGTCTGACGCGTGAACACCCTTCAGTTTCGGTACTCACCTGGCCCTTGAAACTCTTCCTGGCGATCAAGGCTAAACCACAGTCGGAACATCATGGGCGGAGGGGCGAAGGACGGGGGCGGGCGGGTATGACGGGCATGATGCCGTGATAAGATGGGGCTCAGAATACACTTTTGGCACTTCCAAGGGGCAGCTAGCGGCCCTCGTTGCTGCAGCGCCTGTAAAACGTTCCCATCCCTTCGGGGCGCACCTCTTACTTCCGCCGCCCTCCGCCGGCTTCCGCCCGCGGATGTGGCCTCGCTTTGCCTCCGCCGACCTTCCGCCGCCCTTCCGCCGAGGAAGCGACGACAACTCTCGGGGGCGGCTAAGAGGGGGGCGTCCAAGAGGGGGGGGGGCGCAAATCATGGCCAGCGGCATGTGCGCGGCCCTTGGAGGGGGGGGGGGGGGGCCAGGGACGCAACGAAATGAGAAGCGGCGCCATGAGATCTGGGGAGCCATCATGGCCCCCGCCATGCTCTCTCTCCCCCCCCAGCCATCGCCCCCCTCTCTGCCGCCCCCGAACCTCCGTCGACCCTGGCAGGCGCGGCCCCCTCTGGAAGCGCCTCCGCCGGGCAGCCCCGGCGAGCCCTGCGCAGCGTGCCGCTCTCGGGGCACCCCCGGGGGGGGGTGGGGCCGGCGCCCGGCCCGTGGTCGGCCGCGCTCGCGGCGGAGCGCCGCGGCTGGAGAAGCCGCCACCTCCCCTCGGCGCGCTGAGCCTCCTCCGGAGGCCTCCCGCACGGGGCCCGAGTGGCCGCGGTCGGAGGAGCTCGCCGCAGCGCCGACGCACCGGCGACGCATCGCCGGTGCATTGGCGCTGCATCGGCGATGCGCTGGCGGCGTCGGCGATGCATCGGCGACGTCGGCGCGGAGAACATTGGGCCCCACATCGAGCCGCATCGCCGATGCATCGCCGATGCATCGGCGGTGCGTCGGCGATGCGTCGGCGATGCGGCGTGATCCTCCGACCCCATCTGCTCCGCCCCCTTCTAGGAGGCCCAGACTCCTCCCTCGATCACGGGGCAGCTGCAAGAGAGGCCCGCGCGCAGCCGCAGCGCCGCCGTGGAGGCGCCCGCAGCTCCTGCTCGTCGGGGCGGGGGGGGCTCGAGAGGATCAGCTTTTGAGGGGCCCCTAACCTTAGATCGGGCATATCCTCCTACAGGCGGATTTTGGAGGACAAATGCAACATAGTCAAAATATACATTATCCCAGAGCGACCCTACCTAGGAGTTGGAGCCCCGAGGAGAGCAATATTAGTAGTAACGGTAAACGCCGTCCTCCTCCTTCTCCTCATCGTCGCAGTTGTGGCAGTAGCAGTAGTAGTAGTAGTAGTAGTAGTAGTAGTAGTAGTAGTAGTAGTAGTAGTAGTAGTAGTCGTAGTAGTAGTCGTAGTAGTAGTAGTAGTAGTAGTAGTAGTAGTAGTAGTAGTCGTAGTAGTAGTAGTAGTAGTAGTAGTAGTAGTAGCAGTAGTCGTAGTAGTAGTAGTAGTAGTAGTATAGTAAGTAGTAGTAGTAGTAGTAGTAGTAGTAGTAGTAGTAGTAGTAGTAGTAGTAGTAGTAGTAGTAGTAGTAGTAGTAGTAGTAGTAGTAGTAGTAGTAGTAGTAGTAGTAGTAGTAGTAGTAGTAGTAGTAGTAGTAGTAGTAGTAGTAGTAGTAGTAGTAGTAGTAGTAGTAGTAGTAGTAGTAGTAGTAGTAGTAGTAGTAGTAGTAGTAGTAGTAGTAGTAGTAGTAGTAGTAGTAGTAGTAGTAGTAGTAACAGTACAGCTTAATACCTACATCTGCATATAGACCTACATCCACATCTACACCTACAGCTACATCTACATGCACACATGCATCTACATCTACATCTACATCTACAACTACACTCACATCTGCATCTACATCGACACCTACATCTACACCTACGTGTACATATACATCTTCATCTACACCTGCATACACATCTACACCTACGCCTACATCTACATCTACAGCTACATGTTCGCATTGGTTTTGTGTTTGAGTTGCATGTCCTTTGCTATTGCTCTTGCCTTTGCTTTTGCCGTTGCTATGCTAAGCTGCGTTATGCTATGCTATGCTGCGCTATGCTATGCTATGCTATGCTGCGCTATGTATGCTATGCTATGCTATGCTATGCTGCGCTATGCTATGCTATGATATGACATGCTATGTTGCGCTATGCTATGCTGTGCTATGCCATGATATGTTATACTGCGCTATGTTATGCTATGCGATGCTATGCTATGCTAGGCTGCGCTGTGCTATGTTAAACTAAGCTATGCTATGATATGCGATGCTATGCTATGCTCCGATATGCTATGCTATGCTATGTTATGCTATGCTATGCTATGCTGCGCTATGATATGCTGCGCTATGCTATGTTATGCTATGATATGATATGACATGCTATGCTATGATATGCCATGCTATGCTATGTTAATGCTGCGCTATAGGCTAGGCTAAGCTAAGCTAATATTAAATAAGCTGAGCTAAGATGAGATAAGCAACGCTGAGCTAAGGGGCCGTCACTGGGGGAACCGCGGGGCGGATACTGGGGGAACCGCCCTGGGCGATTAGCACTGCCCGGCCCTTGGAGCACACACGGTAAGAACCCTTCTAGGCAGAGCCTAGGTAGGGAACAAACATGGTCACCAATAATCGAAACATCGTCCCCAGGCTACTTTTGTTGACTATGTTTGGAAATTCAACCTGTAGAGGGACACGCCCGACTTAACCCCAACACTTTGGGGGCGACCCTGGGTTAAGAGGCCCAATCCATGAGGGCCAAAGGGGGTCTTTTTCTGAGGAGGTGTCGATCCACACCGCCTGGAACCATGATCCCCAATGCAAGCGCGCCGACCTGAATGAGCCCACGTCTTCCCCTCTGTTGCTCCAATCGTACGTAAGGACCACATCCCATAAATAATTTCGGGCACACAGAAAAGTATCGAAACAATGTCGAACGAGTATCGCCTCCCAGGGCCCGACACGTGAAAACCCTCAAGTTCCGGTACTTCCTTGGTGCTCGAACTTCTTCCTGGTGAGAAAAGCTGAATCCCGTTGGAACACCACAAGTCTTCACTGCGTTCTTGGGGCTCGGGCCTCTTGCATCCTGGATGGCGAGAGTAACCAGCCTCGAACGTCTCCCTATCCCTAAGATTAACAAGCCAAAAGTCGACGACAATCTCAGGGATGCGCCCTCAGAAACGAAGGGAATCCCGAAGATCGGCATCGAGACGAGGCGATGCCGCTCATAGGGATAGGGACGTGCTCCAGGCTGGTGAGGAGAGGCCCGCGCCCCGCCGCGGCACTGCGCCCTCTGCACCGCCACCCGCAGGCGCTGCTGCCGCGGCTCCGGCCCTCCGAGCGGGGGATCGGCGTGCGCGCTCGCCGTCGCCCCGGCGCCGCAGGGGAGCGCCTGCGCGGGCCTGCCCGAGGAGCGGGCGGGCAGCCTATAGAGGGAGTCCAGCCCGGTCGGGCGAAAAGGGAGGGACGGCAAAGGGGGGGTCTGAGAATCAGCTCACGTAGCTGACTTTCCCGGCGCCTCCCGGCGCCGGAGGCGGCCATGCATCGAGGAATGGGCCCCTCGGTGGGGCCGACACCAGCTGCATGCAGCACATTTCGTAGCCCCCCCTTTCCCAATCCCCCCCTTTCGTCCGGCCCGATTCAAGCAACAATGTTTCTTTTAATCACAGAACATCACAATGAAAGTGAAAGAACCAAGATTTTTAACTGCTGGGTTGTTGCGCAGATGTCTCAGCCCCAAGACGGGGCCGAGAACAAAACTAGGAACTTTAAGAACAGGGACCGGAGCCGCGATGCGGCGTGTACAGTCAACCCGTCTGACGGGATGCAAGCTCCTTGGAGGGCCACGTCGACACTCTGCGAGCGGGGCGCGGCCAACGAAAGCGGCCAAGGATGGCCGGAGGGGGAGGATGCAAGGGGGACGTTGGAACGTCCCTCATCCTTACTGTGCGGCTTCACTGTACGCAGGAAAGGCCACTCCAGATTCCGTGAATGCAGGGGGTCCTTTGAATGGCCCGCGCGGTGGCTGCTTTTTGCCACCTCGTCCCGAGAGGAAGCACCCCAGCGAAACAAAACCGGCCAGGGCTGGGGCGCCCTGGGGGGGGACTGGGGGGCGAGGCGAGGGGAGGCGGAGGGGCGATCGACGCAGACGACGATGACGATGACGATGACGCCGTCGAGCGAGGGGAGCTGAGGCCTCCCAGATGGGGTCCGAGTAAAAGGGTTCGGAGGAGCGCGCTGCATCGGCGATGCACCAATAGCGACGTCGGCGGAGAGAAAATGGGGCTCCACACCGGGCCGCATCGGCGATGCATCGGCGATGCGGCGCGATCCTCCGACCCCATCTTCTCCGCTCCCATCTGGGAGGACTCGAGGGAGGCGAGGGGCGAGCGAGGGAGGCAGGCAGCCCCCTGGCCTGAGCTCGTGCTGCTGGCGCTCAGAGCCGGAGGACACAGCGACAAGTTGAAGTTCA